GAAGTCTTGCTCTGTCGCCCAGGCTGGAGTGCAATGGCGAGATCTCAGCTCACTGCAACCCATCTCCTAGTTTCAAGTGATTGTCCTGCCTCAGCGTCCCAAGTCCCTGGGATAACAGGCGCCCACCATCCTGCCCAGCTAATTTTTACATTTTTAGCAAAGATGGGGTTTTTACCATGTTGGCCAAGCTAGTCTTGAACTCCTGACCTCAGGACATCCTCTCGCCTTGGCCTCCCAAAGTGCTGGGATTACAGGTGTGAGCCGATGTGCCTGGCCACCCACCCAAAGATTTCTAGTGGCAGTAATTTAGTAAAGCTTTAAGACTTTTAAGCCTATGAGCTGCTGCTTTTTTGTTTGTTTGTTTGAGGTGGAGTCTTGCTCTGTTACCCAGGCTGAAGTGCAGTGGTGCTATCTTGGCCCACTGCAGCCTCTGCCTCCCAGATTCAAGTGATTCTCATGCCTCAGCCTCCTGGGCAGCTAGGATTACAGGCACCCGCCACCACACCCAGCTAACTTTTGTATTTTTAGTAGATTCAGGGTTTTACCATGTTAACTAGGCTGATCTCAAACTCTTGACCTCAAGTAATCTGCCCACCTCCACCTCCCAAATTGTTGTGGTTATAGGCATAAGCCTCCATGACCAGCTGCCTACGAGCTTCTTCTTGTTGAGGGTGGGTCTCAAAGTGCTGGACTAGCAGCAAAGCATCAGCGTCACCTGGGAACTTGTTAGAAATGCACATTCTTGGGCCCACCCCGAACATCCTGAATCATAAATTCTGGTGGTGGGGCTTAGTAATCTGTTGAACAAGACCCCCACAAGATTATGATATTGCCATTGGATGTTAAGTAGTTACGGGAAACAAGAGAACCATTGTAGATGGTGGTGAGGAATTGACTGGTTGTGTTTTTTGTTTTGAAAGGCCTGACTCCTCTATATGCTAGGTCAAGAACAGAACCAGTCCTGATCTTTTGCGAAGGTTAACACATACTTGGGAAGTTTCATGAATATTTTTTCCTGTCATTTGTATGCTTTCTGTATATGTCATATGGGCCTACTTAATCCCAACTGTGTTGATTTCTATGTATGCGTTCTAAAAAACAATGTTTAGTTTTAAAGAAGCAGCTTTCTGGGGGGAAAAAGGCATTTAAAAATAACGTACTTTTAGAAATATATCTATGTTTTCATTGTTGTGTAAAAAAAATTTGTTTTTTTTTTTTTTTTTTTTTTTTTTTTTTTGAGAAAAGGGTCTTGCTCTATTGCCTAGGCTGGGGTGCATCGGCACAATCACGGTTTGATGCAGCTTCAAATTCTGGGCTCAAGTGATCCTTCCACTTCAGCTTTCCAAGTAGCTGGGACTACAGGGATGTGTCAGCATGCCCAGCTAATTTTTTCATTTTTAGTAGAGATGGGGGGATCTGTCTGTGTTACCCAGGCTGGTCTCAAACTCCTAAGCTCAAATGATCCTCTTACTTTGGCCTCCTAAAGTGCTGGGATTACAGGTGTGAGCCACCACATCTGGCCAAAAAGTTTCTTAAACATTGTTTGAGTTGGCTGGTAGAAGATTTATAGGAACAATGAAAGAAAACCATTTATTTGAAATCTTACTGTAATGTGGGAAGAATATTATGTGAATTCAGCTATGAGTTTACTTGCAGTTTTTTCAGGTTCTGAATGAAGACTTAAAAGATCTTATCCATGTTTATTTATAAACTATACCAGTATTGAAACTGTGATTTAGTTCAGTTATTCTACAACCCAATAGATAAAATATCTTTGCAAATTTGTGCAAAAGGCCAAAAAAGTACTGCCTAAGATAACACTAATAAATATATAAGATGATAAAATTAGTCTTTCAAGTATGTATGAATGATTGACCTAAGCTGCAATATAGCATAGTTTTTCTTCCCCTGTAAAGTGTTGTTATTTTAAGGAAATAATTCTTGTATTATAAGACAAATACACATTCTGACCAGATGGGAAACTATACAGTGTGTAACTCAGGTGTCCTTTTTCCTTCAGGGCGGGACCTATTCTTAGCTGTAAGTCATAAACAGCTAGGCATGGTGGCTCATGTCTGTAATCCCAACACCTTGGGAGGCCGAGGTGGGAGGATTACTTGAGGCCATGGATTTAAGACAAGCTTGGGCAACATAGTGAGGCCCCATGTCTTTAAAAAAAATTGAGACACTTAGCTGGGCATGGTAGTGTGTGCTTGTAGCTACTCAGGAGGCTGGGCTGAGAGGATAGCTTCAGCCCAGGATTTTGAGGCTGCAGTGAGCCATGATTGCATCATGGCATTCCAGCCTGGGTAGCAGAGGGGAGACTCAAATAAATAAGCAACTCAACTCTTAAATAAACAAATAAGCAAGATTAACTCAGGTTTATTAATAGTGGCAGCAAAAAGAAAAGAGAAGAAGTCACAAGTCCAAGAGTGACTCAAGTGATTCTAAATAAAATTGGGGCTGGCTTTGCCAAGGTCATGTTAGCACTGATTTTGTTACTGTTGTTATCTTGTCAGATCCAAGTTGATGAAGTCAGAAAGCTGGTATATTTTGAAGGCACCAAAGACTCCCCTTTAGAACATCACCTGTATGTGGTCAGTTACGTAAATCCTGGAGAGGTGACAAGGCTGACTGACCGTGGCTATTCCCATTCTTGCTGCATCAGTCAGGTATTAAGTCTGTTTAAAAAGGGCTTTGTGTCATATTAAAACTCTCTGCTTATGTAATACTCCTTTTGAATGATGTGAAATTAACCTGCAGAAGCCTAATTCTATAAGGAAAAGCTTTAAAAAGCTTAGCTTTAACTTCAACATTGTACATGTACATAAATAGTCTAACTCTTATAGTACTCTTGCTATAGCATTAGTGCAGATGTAACAGCAGATAACCTTTTCTACCTCTCTGAGGAAAAATATAATTGTTTCTCCTTTCTCTAGCATTGTGACTTCTTTATAAGTAAGTATAGTAACCAGAAGAATCCACACTGTGTGTCCCTTTACAAGCTGTCAAGTCCTGAAGATGACTCAACTGGCAAAACAAAGGAATTTTGGGCCACCATTCTGGATTCAGCAGGTATTCTTTTTTCTCTTGATCCTGACATTAAGTAGGATTAACATGATAGTATACTAAACTTGTGTCATATTTTCACATTTCCTGGACAAGTCTTCCCATTTCTCACCACTGCCTGTCCCTGAGCTGCTGGGCTCCTGATTGATCCCACTTTTCCTGTTCTATTAACTACTAAGATGGGTTACTTCTCACTCCAAGCTGAAACAACAAGTCTGGAAGGCCTTTTTGAAATTAGGGCCAGTTGCAGTGGCTCATGCCTATAATCCCAACACTTTGGGAGACTGAGGCAGGTGGATTGATTAAAGTCAGGAGTTCGAGATCAGCCTGACCAGCATGGTAAAACCCCGTCTCTACTAAAACTACCAAAATTAGCCAGACGTAGTGCTGTATGCCTGTTGTCCCAGCTACTCGAGAGACTGAATCACAAGAATCACTTGAACTCAGGAGTCAGAGGCTGCAATAAGTTAAGATCACACCACTGAACTGCAGCCTGCGTTAACAGAGCAAGACCTTGTCTCAAAAAAAAAAAAAAAGAAAGAAAATAAGATTAAAATAGTAAAGTATCACCTAGGAAACAATTTGTTTACATATTTTGATGACTTCTCAGGTACACAAATGAACTTGAAGGTAATGTATTCTGAACTAGTAAGACTCTTTGAACTGGGAAGCTGTGACTTTGCAGAATAACCAGCTGATATATTTATTTATTTGTTTGTTTGAGATGAAGTTTTGCTCTTCTTGCCCAGGCTGTAGTGCAGTGGGCCGATCTCGGCTCACTGCAACCTCTGCCTACCAGGTTCAAGCAGTTCTCCAGCCTCAGCCTCCCGAGTAGCTGGGATTATAGGTATATGCCACCATACCTGGCTAATTTTGTATTTTCAGCAGAGATGGGGTTCCTCCATGTTGGTCAAGCTGGTCTCAAACTTTCAGTCTCAGGTGATCCGCCTGCCTCATCCTCCCAGAGTGCTGGGATTACAGGCATGAGCCACCACACCTGGCTAATTTTGTATTTTTAGTAGAGACGGGATTTCTCCACGTTGGTCAGGCTGGTCTTGAACTCCCGACCTCAGGTGATCCGCCTGCCTCATCCTCCCAAAGTGCTGGGATTACAGGCATGAGCCACTGCACTCAGCATTTTTTTATTTTTTATTATTATTATTTTTTAATTAAGTTCTCTGGTACATGTGCGGAACATACAGGTTTGCTTCATAGGTATACACATGTCATGGTGATTCGCTGTACCAATCAACCTGTCATCTACATTAGGTATTTCTCCTGATGCTATCCTTCCCCTAGCCCCCTGCCCTGAGACAGGCCCCGATGTGTGATGTTCCCCTCCTGTGTCCATGTGTTCTCATGTTCAACTCCCACTTATGAGTGAGAACATGTGGTGTTTGGTTTTCAGTTCTTGTGTTAGTTTGCTGAGAATGATGATTTTTGGAAAACTAGCTAGCCATATGCAGAAAGCTGAAACTGGATCCCTTCCTTACACCTTATACAAAAATTAACTCAAGATGGATTAAAGACTTAAACGTAAGACCTAAAACCATAAAAACCCTAGAAGAAAACCTAGGAAATACCATTCAGGACATAGGACGTGTTTTTCATGACTAAAACACCAAAAGCAATAGCAACAGAAGCTGATAGCTTTCTTAAACTTTTGAAGCACTTATAATGGCCATCTTAATAAAAAAAAATACTTGCTTTCTCTGGAATGAGAGAAACACTGTGAATTATCTGTTTAAAATGCTTGATTTCTTAAAGAATGGATTAGTTTTATGTATCTTCTAATTCACTTTAATCCCCAGTCTTTTTTTCCAGTATTTTCACTAATTAATTATTTCTGCTAAGAGGTTATGCAATTAGGCCAGGCATAGTGGCTTATGTCTGTAATCTCAGCACTTTGGTAGGCCGAGGTGGGTGGATCATTTGAGGTCAGGAGTTTGATTCCAGTCGGGCCAACACGGTGAAACCCCACCTCTACTAACAAAAATTAGCTTGACGTAGTGGTGGGCACCAGTAGTCCCAGCTACTCAGGAGGTTGAGGCAGGAGAATCGCTTGAACCTGGGAGGCAGAAGTTTCAGTGAGCTGAGATGGCATCAATGTACTCCAGCCTGAGCAACAGAGAGAGACTCTGTCTCAAAAAAAAAAAAGGAAAAAGAAAAAGAAATTAGTACAAAACCAAAGAATATAATGTGTTTTAATGTCCACAAGTGGAATCAGAATTTGTTATATGATCTCTGCTTAGACTGTAAATTATCCACCATACACAGACACTTAGGAGAGATCTGTTTAGCTTTGGTAAACCAAAACTGATGATGACATTTTTCTGAGTTCTGGTTAGGCTTATTCTAATGATCAGAGGCAAATGTTACTCCTTACCTACCATGAACAAATTAAATTCACTTATAATTTCCCTTACCTGCCACCCAGCTTTATTCAGTTATATACCTGTTTCTAACCAGATATATGATTTAATCATCAATAAGTTATATTGGGCATAAAGTATTTGTAGAGTTCTGCACATAGATATTTCCTAGGCTCCAAGGATTATTCAGAACACTCTGTGTCTGCTTCTGAAATAATTTGTCATGTTTCTTTTGTTGTTTGTTTTTTTGTGTGTGGATTTCTGTTGTTGTCAAGACAGTGTCTCATTCTGTTGCCCAGGCTGGAGTGCAGTGGCACAGTCATAGCTCACTGTAGCCTCAGCCTCCTGGGCTCAATCAGTCCTCCTGCCTCAGCCTCCACTACAGGAGCACACCTCCATGCCTGGGTAATTTCTGTATTTTTTTTTTGTAGAGACAGGGTTTTGCCATGTCGCCCAGGCTGGTCACAAACTCTTGAGTTCAAGTAATCCACCCACCTCAGCCTCCTAAAGTGCTAGGATTGCAGGTGTGAGCCACCATGCCTGGCCTAGCTTTGTTTTTAAAGATTAATACTCTTGCTTAATTTCTAGTTTATCATCTGAAAGAGGGGTGGTCAGTTTGTGTTGTAGGGTCTTTTCATATCTTCTTCCTGTTCTCAGATTGCAGCACCCCGTAAGAACCCCTTTTGTAGACTCTGGTGTGTTCCCTGTTCACAGGCCCTCTTCCTGACTATACCCCTCCAGAAATCTTCTCTTTTGAAAGTACTACTGGATTTACATTGTATGGGATGCTGTACAAGCCTCATGATCTACAGCCTGGAAAGAAATACCCAACTGTGTTGTTCATATACGGTGGTCCTCAGGTGGGCGCATATTTTTATATGTATATACATACACTCATATGCATATGTATTTTAGATTATTTGTTTTTTAAATGTCAGTTGTTTAGATTAAAATTTGAGCACTGTTGGCCATTCACTCTTTTTGACTCTGGCTTATATTCTAATTAGCCAGTTTAGGGGGTCAGGAAACTGGCTTTTGTTAGATGGCTAATTTATAAATCACTAAATCAATTCCTTTTTTTTTTTTTTTTTTTTTTTTTTTTTTCTTTTTTCCCAGGCTGGAGTGCAATGGTGCAGTCTCCCCTCGCTGCAACCTCTGCCTCTCAGGTTTGAGTGATTCTTCTGCCTCAGCCTCCCAGGTAGCTGGGATTACAGGCATGTGCCACCATGCCCAGCTAATTTTTTATTTTTATTTGTAGTAGAGATGAGGTTTCACCATGTTAGTCAGGCTGGTCTCGAACTCCTGACCTCAAATGATCCACCCACCTCAGCCTCCCAAAGTGTTGGGATTACAGGTGTCAGCCACTGCGCCTGGCCACTAAGTCAATTGCTTAATTTGCAGTGTGGTCTATAACTCCGTGAGGAGTGGGATATTCATGTTAGTAGGTAAATATGTTGCTTTCTATGGAGAGAAACTTGTTTGGGAAATAAAATGAAATCATTAAATGTCTTGGTAGATAAAAAGAGTCTTAGCAGGTATTTTCAGAAAGCCTTGGTAGCCCAGTGAATTCTCCCTCTTTATTCTAAAGCTGTGTCTCTCAAGCAAATTAAAATATTTTTATTAGCTAGTTAAGGCAACTGCTACTTTCCTATTTAGCACTGTAAGAAGTTTACACCTTGATTTTCCTTATTCTGGATTAAGTATTAGCCAGTGACTATTAAGTAAAATGCTTTGACTATTGGAGTAAAATATGTTGGATGGGTGTATTGGTTAATTGCTAAATTTTACAGTTGTTTATTCTTGATTATATATCCTACATTGAGCCTTAGAAGAAATTAAAATGTAATTACAGTGTTTTTGTAATGCAATTCTTAGACTAAGTAATACCCTTTATAATTAATAATTATACCCACATATTTAGTATCTGGAAACATATCTATATACCAAATTGTACAAAAAAATAAGAGTAAAATGGTTAGGGATGGTGGCTTACGCCTGTAATCCCAGCACTTTGAAAGGCTGAGGTAGGCGGATCTCAAGGTCAGGAGATCAAGACCATCCTGGCCAACATGGTGAAACCCCATCTCTACTAAAATACAAAAAAATAGCCGGGTGTGGTGGTGCATGCCTGTAGTCCCAGCTACTCGGGAGCCTGAGGCAGGGGAATCTCTTGAACCTGGGAGACAGAGGTTGCAGTGAGCCAGGATTGTGCCACTGCACTCCGGCCTGGATGACAGAGCAAGACCCTGTCTCAAAAAAAGATTTAAAGGACTCCTTATATTAGTAATTAAGTTAATAGAGGCTTAGCCACATGAAAAGATCCTCAAGATGACTAATCATTGGGGAAATGCAAGTCAACGCCACAGTGAGATACCAGTTTACACCCATTAGATTGGCTCTTATCAAAAAGAGGAAAATATTAAGTGCTATGCAAGATGTAGACAAGTTGGAACCGTGCCTGGTTCATTGCTGTGAGAATGTAAAATGGTATAGCTGCTATGGAAAAGAGTATGGAAGTTCCTCAAAATGTCAAACATAGAGTTACCATATGAGCCAGAAATTCCACTTCCGGATATATGCCCAGAAGAATTGAAAATAGGGACAGGAACAGATACTTACACAGCCATAGCCATAGCAGCGTTATTCACAATAGCCAAAAGGTGGAAGCTGCCCAAGTGTCCATCAACAGATAACTGGATAAACAAAATGTGGTCTGTCCTTAAAAAGGAAAGTCAGCCGGGCGCGGTGGCTCAAGCCTGTAATCCCAGCACTTTGGGAGGCCGAGGCGGGTGGATCACGAGGTCAAGAGATCGAGACCATCCTGGTCAACATGGTGAAACCCCGTCTCTACTAAAAATACAAAACATTAGCTGGGCATGGTGGCGCGTGCCTGTAATCCCAGCTTCTCAGGAGGCTGAGGCAGGAGAATTGCCTGAACCCAGGAAACGGAGGTTGCGGTGAGCCGAGATCACGCCATTGCGCTCCAGCCTGGGTAACAAGAGCGAAACTCCGTCTCAAAAAAAAAAAAAAAAAAAAAAAAAAAGGAAAGTCCGACACATACTATAACACTGATGAACCTTGAGGACATTATGCTAAGTGAAATAATTATGCTGTACACAAGAGGACAAATATTATTCCACTTGTATGAGGTACCTATAATAGGCAAATTCATAGGGATGGAAAGTAGAATAAAAGTTGTCGGTTGAATGGAAGAAGGATGGGGAGTGTTTGAGTGTTCATTTATTTGTTTTTGAGATAGACTCTCACTCTGTCATCCAGGCTATAGTGCTGTGGCATGACCTTAGCTCACTGCAACCTCCGCCTCCTGGGTTCCGGCAATTCTGGGTTCTAGCAAGGCTGAGGGCCTCCCGAGTAGCTGGAATTACAGGCATACGCCACCAAGCCTATAATCCCAGCACTTTAGGACGCTGAGGTGAGCGGCTCGCCTGATTTTTTAAATTTTTAGTAGAGATGGAGTTTGACCAGGTTGGCCAGGCTGGTCTTGAACTCCTGGCTTTGGGTGATCCACCTGCCTCAGCCTCCCAGAGTTGTGGGATTACAGGTGTGAGCCACCTCACCCGGCTGGGAGTTATTAATGGGCACAAAATTTCTGTTCGAGTGATGAAAAAGTTCTGGAAATGGGTAATGGTGATGATTACACAACAGTATGAATATATTTAGTGTCACTGAATTGTATGCTTAAAGTGGTTGAAATGGTAAATTTTATGTGTATTTTACCATAATTTTAAAAATCTTAGCCAATACAATTAAAACAAATTTTCTTTTCTTTTTCTTTTCTTTTTTGAGACAGTCTCACTCTGTTGCCCAGGCTGGAGTGCAGTGACGTGATCTTGGCTCACTGCCACCTCCGCCTCCCAGGTTCGAGCACTTCTTCTGCCCCTGAGTAGCTGGGACTACAGTTGTGCACCACCACACCCGACTAATTTTTATATTTTTAATAGAGATAGGGTTTCACCATGTTGACCAAGATGGTCTTGAACTCGTGACCTCAGGGGATCCACCCACCTCTGCCTCCCAAAGTGCTGGGATTATAGCCGTGAGTCACTGTGCCCATCCAAAACAGAATTAATTGTTTAGAATACTTCATGAGTACAGCTATACTGTTTGCAGTTACAGAACAATCATATTTGAAAGGCTATGAGTGAATTTCACTATGTGGTTTTTGAAAAACTATGGATCTCACGCCTGTAATCCCAGCACTTTGGGAGGCCAGGACAGTCACAGGGTCAGGAGTTTGAGACCAGCCTGGACAACATGGTGAAACCCTGTCTCTACTAGAAAAACAAAAATTAGCTGGGCGTGGTGGTGCCTGCCTGTAATTCTAGCTACTCCAGAGGCTGAGGCAGGAGAATCACTTGAACCTGGGTGGCAGAGGTTGCAGTAAGCTGAGATTGTGCCACTGTACTCTAGCCTGGGCAACACAGCCAGACTCTATCTAGAAAAAAAAAAAAAGCTATAGGTGACTTAGGATGATTTCTTTCTTTCTTTCTCAAAAATGTTCTTTGGAAAAATTCAAATTTGGTGAGGCCATAAAAGAATCTGGGCTGGGTGCATTGGCTCATGCCTATAATCCCAGCACTTTGGGAGGCTGAAATAGAAGGATCACTTTAGCCCAGGAGTTCAAGGCCAGCATGGCAACATAGGGAGACCCCATCTCTACAAAAAATTAAAAAATTAGCTGGGCATGGTGGTGGGTACCTGTAGTTCGTCACAGCTACTTGGGAGGCTGAGATGGGAGAATTGCTTGAGCCAGGGAGTTTGAAGCTGCAGTGAGCTGTGATCACGCCACTGCACCCCAGCCTGGACAAGAGAGTGAAACCTTGTGTCAAAAAAGAGAAAACAGAAGGATCTGGGTGGGTATAGTGGCTCATGCTTACAATCCCAGCACTCTGGAAGGTCTAGATGGGAGGGTTACTTGAGACCATCTTCTACACATGGTAGCAAACAAAGAAGTGAGGTGTTTTTCTTTAAATGTTTGTATTTGTGTTCTTCTCTGTCTAGTACTACTTCTTTCAGCATTCTCCCTTTAAAAACAAATTTAGCCAAATGCTGTGGCACACATATATAATCCCAGCTATTCAGAGGCTGAGGTGCAAGAATCACTTGAGCCCAGTTCGAGGCCGTAGTGAACTATGATTGTACCACTGCACTCCAGCCTGTGGTACAGAGTAAGACACCATATCTTAAGTAAATAAATAAATAAAAGTGCCTTTACTCACCAGATGCCCTCTTCCCAAGGTAGAAATGTAAAAAACATGATTCTCTCTTTTTTCTTTTTCATTCATTCATTTAGCAAATAGGTATTAAGTTCCTATGATGTGCTAGGTACTTTTCTAGGCAGTGAGGATGCACAGTGAGCATGTCAGACTAATGTTGCATTTTATGGACCATAAAGGAAAAAGAATAAGCAAACATAAAAAGATATGATGGTGGGACCCCATCTCTACAAAAAAAAAAAAAAAATTAAAAGCTAGGCATGGTGGTGTACACCTGTAGTCCCAGCTACTCGAAGGCTGAGATAGGAGGATCACTTGTGCCCAGGAATTTGAGGCAGCAGTGAGCTATGATTGTGCCACTGCACTCCAGCCTGGGAGACCCCATCTTTAAAAAAAAAAAGTATGACTTTTTTTGTTTGTTTTTGAGACAGAGTCTCTCTCTGTTGCCCAGGCTACAGTGCAGTAGTGTGATCTTGGCTCACTGCAACCTCTGCCTCCTGGGTTGAAGTGATTCTCAGGCTTCCGCCTCCCAAGTAGCTGGGACTACAGACGCGCCTCACCATGCCCTGCTAATTTTTTGTATTTTTAGTAGAGACAGGTTTCGCTATGTTGACCAGGCTGGCCTCCAACTTCTGACCTCAGGTGATCCACCTGCCTCAGCCTTCTAAATTTCTGGGATTACAGGTGTGAGCCACCATACCTGGCCTAAAAGCATGACTTTTTATAATGGAAGTGCTATGAAGATTTGCTGGGAAAGGGGATGGCAAGACCTCTCCTGAGGGTACAAACATTGAAAAGGAATGAGCCATGCAAAATATATGAGAGACATGGAGAACAATAAATGTCAAGGTCCTGGGGCTAGAACCAACTTGGTTAGAGTACAGTGCATATGGAGGGAAATGGTATGAGATGAGGTCAGAGGTAGCCAAAGATCTCAAGGACTGGCTGGGCATGGTGGCTCACGCCTGTAATCCAAGCACTTTGGAGGCCGAAGTGGGCGGATCACCCGAGGTCGGGAGTTCAAGACCAGCCTGACTAATATGGTGAAACCCCATCTAAAAAAAAAAATAAAAAGATCTCAAGGGCCATGTAGACTTATTCTGAAGGGTAATGGTAGCCAATAGAGGAAGCCAAGCAGCAGTCATGTCTGATGTACATTTTTTTGTTGTTGTTCTCTGAAGTGAATTAATTGAACCAAATGATGTACGTTTTTAAAACATCACTCTGTTACTGCATGAACAAACAGACCTTAGGAGGGCAAGAACAGGCCAGGCGCAGTGGCTCACTCCTGTAATCCCAGCACTTTGGGAGGCCAAGGCAGGCAGATCATGAGGTCAGGAGATCAAGACCATCCTGGCCAACACAGTGAAACCCAGTCTCTACTAAAAATATAAAAAAAAATTAGCTGGTTGTGGTGGTGTGTGCCAGTAATCCTAGCTACTCGGGAGGCTGAGGCAGGAGAATCACTTGAACCAGGGAGTCGGAGGTTGCAATGAGCCAAGAATGCGCCACTGCAGTCCAGCTTGGACGACAGAGTGAGACTCCGTCTCAAAAAAAAAAGGAGGGCAAGAACAGAAGTGGGAAGATGAGTTTGGTAGTTGTTGCAGTAGTATTAAACATCCAAAAGTGCAAAATCGGAAGATTCTCCTTCCTCCTCCTCATACAATCTAGCCTAGTGTTTAGTAGGTATTTATTGGCTGGAGATGGTGTTAATTCTTATTCAACTCTTGGCTGACTTGTTTTTTCCATTTGTTTTAGCTGAGAATACATCTTTCTCATTTTTATTAGAACCTCTTTTTGTTTAATATCTTAATGTCCACCAAACCTTGAATTTCTATAACTTTCTGTTTGCTAATTCTAGTCCTCTTTTCACTAGATACTGTAAAACACTAACATGAATTTAACTTATCAGTCATTCTGAACTATAGTCTCTAGGGTGATAAAGTGATTTCAGGCTAGACACAGTGGCTCATGCCTCTAATCCCAGCACTTTGGGAAGCTGAGGTGGGAGGATCACTTGAGCCCAGGAGTTCAAGACAAACCTGGGCAACATAGTGAGACCCTATCTCTAGAGAAAAAATTTAAAAAATTATCCAGGCATGGAGGCAAGCGCCTATAGTCCCAGTTCCTCGGGAGGCCAGGGCAGGATTGCTTGAGCCCAGGAGCTCAAGGCTGCAGTGAGCCATGATTGTGCCACTGCATTCCAGCCCCAATGACAGAGGGAGACCCTGTCTTAAAAAAAAAAAAAAGTTATTTAAAAATTATCCTACCTTTACACTGATTTTGTCTGGACTAGTTAGAATATTCCATTAAAATACTGTTTCCCACTACTGGTCAGAGACAACTCCAGAAGCAGGGAGGAAAGGTTTTCTTAATTTGTCCTTGTAACTGTCTTTTGAATAACAGTTCTTCAGGGTGGGAGCAATCAGTTTAGTAACTTTTTATATGGGGTGGGTTGATTTACTTATATCTAATTACTATCTAAGAATTTTATTTTTTATTTTACTTTTTTTTTTGGAGACAGAGTTTTGCTTTTGTTGCCCAGGCTGGAGTGTAAAAATGTGATCTTGGCTCACTGCAATCTCCACCTCCTGGGTTCAGGCAGTTCTCCGGCCTCAGCCTCTCAAGTAGCTGGGATTACAGGCATGTACTACCACACCCAGCTAATTTTGTATTTTTAGTAGAGGTGGGGTTTCCCCATGTTGGTAAGGCTGGTCTCGAACTCCTGACCTCAGGTGATCCGCCTCCCTGGGCCTCCCAAAGTGCTGGGATTACAGGCATGAGACACCGTGCCCAGCCCCTGAGTTAGAATTTTAAAGCCTACGATTGTTCAGTAATTGCCCTGAACTTGAGTGTCAAGTTAAGCAAGAAGCAACATGAACATGAAACGACTTAAGTTAATTTAAAAATAAATGACTTAAAAAATTAAATTTTGGGCCGGGCACGGTGGCTCAAGCCTGTAATCCCAGCACTTTGGGAGGCCAAGGCGGGTGGATCACGAGGTCAAGAGATCGAGACCATCCTGGTCAACATGGTGAAACCCTGTCTCTACTAAAAATACAAAAAAAAAATTAGCTGGGCATGGTGGTGCGTGCCTGTAATCCCAGCTACTCAGGAGGCTGAGGCAGGAGAATTGCCTGAACCCAGGAGGCGGAGGTTGCGGTGAGCCGAGATCGCGCCATTGCACTCCCGCGGGAAAAAAAAAAAAAACTCTCTCTCAAAAAAAAAAAAAAAAAATTACATTTTAAAGATAAAATAATAGTGAAATTCAGCTTTTTATTTTTTGCAACGCCCTGCCGCTCTTGTGTTTTTATATGCTTCCATGTGATAAATTTCACTGAAGTTGTGTTTCTTCCTCAGGTGCAGCTGGTGAATAATCGGTTTAAAGGAGTCAAGTATTTTCGCTTGAACACCCTAGCCTCTCTAGGCTATGTGGTTGTGGTGATCGACAACAGGGGGTCCTGCCACCGAGGGCTTAAATTTGAAGGCGCCTTTAAATATAAAATGGTGTGTGAGCATAAAAACACTTCTTTTACAGACATTTACATTTTCTGGTGCATTGTTTGGTGTGAGACCCTGGAAAGAGAGTTGGGGGAAGGGGCTGTGGATGAGTGAGTGAGAGTGTGTGTGTTAGAGTGTAGGGGCGGGAGAGAAGACGCAGCCTGATGTACACTAGGCTAGCTCATGTCTACCTATACGTAACTGGGGAATTGAGATAGAGCCTCTTGTACGTAGAAGTACCCGCTCTTATTTTGTATGTCCACTTGGGTAGAAGTTAGTACCATTTACCTTTCAGCATCCTGTACACTGTTGAGGAATAATTGAGATTTGTTCTGTCCTCTGTGAAGAGGGAATCCAACTGGTTAGTGCCTTCCTTGTGACAAGCCTCTTTCTCTCTACAGGAAGCTTTAAATGCTACCTTTTAGAGATGCCCCATGTCCTTTCTGCTGCTTTGGGAAATGATGAGAATCCGATGTTCCTTTTGCACAGTAAGGCAGTTACTGTGTTTCCCAGTGTTATTGGACATGCTGAGTAAGACATGGGGATTTTCTCCCACAGCCAGTTCTTTGACCTTATGTTGTATTCTCATGTAAGTTTTTTTGTTTTTATTTTTGTTTTTGGCTCAGTGAAGTGAGATTGTGTGCACTGGCAGGCCTAGTAATATGGACAAGGTGGTGGTGGTAGGACTTAGGACTTTAAAGAAGCAGTATGTTCAGTTCCTAGAGGTAGTGTGATAGGGAAATAGGAAGATAGAGCCTCAAGAGCAATTCCTTCTGCTTTACTGCTCTCAAAATTTAAAAGGAGAAGTAGGCCAGGTGCGGTGGCTCACGCCTGTAATCCCAGCACTTTGGGAGGCCAAGGCAGGAAGATCACTTGAGCCCAGGAGTTCAAGACCGGCCTGAGCAACATAATGAGACCCCACCTCTACAAATAAGTTAAAAAATTAGCTGGGCATGGTGGTGCACACGTGTGTTCCCGGCCACTTGGGAGGCTGAAGTGGGAGGATCACTTGAGCCCAGGAGGTTGAGCTACAGTGAGCTGTGATCACACTACTGCACTCCAATCTGGACAGCACAGTGAGACCCTGTCTCCAAAAAATATAAGTAAAAAGAAGTAAAAGTAATCACTTAAGGGGCTAATTTTTGTCTTTGGGTATAGGAAGGCTTGTTACAAGGAAGATGCTGACCTCTTAACAGACAACAGAACAAATGGAAATGGGAAATACCCAAATAGCAAGGGACAGTTTGAGTAGCAGTCGGAAGGAGCTTTATGACTACGTGGCAACTAAACTCTAGGACAAGCCAGCAACAGAAGTTATAGGCCCTGTCTCCAAATAGATTTTGAAAAATTTTGGGGTGGAGGGCAATAGAACCTCAGTTGGTAATAAACTAAAAATCCTACAGGGCCGGGTGTGGTGGCTCATGCCTGTAATCCCAGCACTTTGGGAGGCTGAGGTGGGCGGATCACTTCAGGTCAGGAGTTCAAGACCAGCCTGGCCATAGTGAAACTCTGTCTTTACTAAAAATACAAAAAGCTGGGCATGGTGGCACATGTCTGTAATCCCAGCTACTTGGGAGGCTGAGGCAGGAGAATTGCTTGAACCCAGGAGGCGGAGGTTGCAGTGAGCTGAGATTGTGCCAATGCACTCCAGCCTGGGTGACAGAGTGAGACTCCATCTCAATAAATAAATAAATAAAAGTTAAAATCATATACACCCACAGGTATTTTTTGTAAAAACATTTATCTCTAAAAGCACTCTTATGAGACTTCTATTCATCAGAATCAGTGAAATGCTCTCCCTTTTTTGACAGGGTCAAATAGAAATTGATGATCAGGTGGAAGGACTTCAATATCTAGCTTCTCGATATGATTTCATTGACTTAGATCGTGTGGGCATCCACGGCTGGTCCTATGGAGGATACCTCTCCCTGATGGCATTAATGCAGAGGTCAGATATCTTCAGGGTATGTGACTTCCTACTATACTCATTTTTGCAATAAGGGTAGATTTTTCTGTAAATTGAGGATATGTGAAAATATCTATTTCCTGAAGGTTTACAGCATTGGCATTTTTTTTTCTTTTTTTTTTTTTTTAAGACAAAGTGTTGCTCTTTTGCCCAGGCTGGAGTGTGGCGTTGTGATATCAGCTCATTGCAACCTCTGTCCCCCAGGTACAAGCGATTCTCATGTCTCAGCCTCCTGAGTAGCTGGGATTGTAAGTGCCTGACACCACGCCTGGCTTTTTTTTTTTTTTTTTTTTTTTTTAAGTAGAAATGGGGTTTCACAATGTTGGCCAGGCTAGTTTTTAACTCCTGACCTCAAGTGATCCGCCCGCCTTGGCCTCCCAAAATGCTAGGATTACAGGCATGAGCCACTATGCCTGGCCCAGAGTTGGCAATATTGTAGAATGTTAGGGCTTGTATGTTTAAGAGCCGTGTGAAACGTATATAAATATCAAGCTTTTTTTCTTTTTTTTCTGAGTTGGAATATTGCTTTTCACCCAGGCTGGAGTGCAGTGGTGTGATCTTGGCTCACTGCAGCCTCCACCTCCTGGGTTCAAGTGATTTCCAGCTAATTTTTGTACTTCAGTAGAGGTGGGGTTTCACCGTGTTGGCTAGGCTGGTTTTGAACTCCTGACCTCAAGCGATCCACCCGCCTCAGCCTCCCAAAATGCTGGCATTACAGGCGTGAGCCACTGTGCTAGCCTTCAATTTTTATGTGTGTGTGTATGTTTTTTCTTTTAAACATTCATCAACTGGATAACCAGTTAGTTATTGGCTGTTTGTAGATACATGCCAAAAAGCATGGGAGATGGTTGTGATTAGCAAAACACACATGACATACCTGTTGGATTGTGATTACTTGTTTAATTGTTGGACTGCAAGCCATGAGGGCAGGGACCTGTTTGCCCTGTACACCACTGTATCCTCAGCAGTCAGGCACAATGCTGGGCATATAGTAGGCCCTCAAATGGGTTAAATGAATGAATTATTAAATGTATAAATGTGGCCGGGCGCAGTGGCACATACCTGTTATCCCAGCACTTTGAGAGGCTGAGGTGGGTGGATCACGAGGTTAAGAGATCGAGACCATTCTGGCCAACGTGGTGAAACCTCGTCTCTACTAAAAATACAAAAATTAGCTGGGTGTGGTGGTGCATGCCTGTAGTGCCAGCTACTCGGAAGGCTAAGGCAGGAGAATCTCTTGAACCCGCAGGGCGGAGGCTGCAGTGAGCCAAGATCGTGCCACTGCACTCCAGCCTGGTGACAGAGCAAGATTCCATCTCAAAAAAAAAAAATGTATAAATGCTTACAATTCTATTAACAAACCCTTGGGAAAATGTACTAGAAGAAAATACATAAGGATGATAACAATTATTGAGAGTAGGAATTATGAGTAGTGTTTGTTTTTTAAAATTTCAGTAACAATTTTACTTTACGGGGAAAAGTAATTTTTAAATTTTTATTTTATTTTATTTTATTTATTTATTTGAGACGGAGTCTCATCCTACCACCCAGGCTGGAGTGCAATGGCACTATCTTGGCTCACTGCAACCTTCACCTCCCGGGTTCAAGTGATTCTCCTGCCTCAGCCTCCCAAGTAGCTGGGATTACAGGCGTGCGCCACCACGCCTGGCTAATTTTTTGTATCTTTAGTAGAGATGGGGTTTCACCATGTTGGCCAGGCTGGTCTCGAACTCCTAATCTCGTGATCCACCCACCTCGGCCTCTCAAAGTGCTGGGATTACAGGCATGAGCCACGGCACCTGGCCTATTTTTTTTTTTTTTTTTTTTTTGAGACAGACTCTTGCTCTATCACCCAGGCTGGAGTGCAGTGGCACGGTCTTGGTTCACTACAACCTCCGCCTCTTGGGTTCAAGTGATTCTAGCGATTCTCTTGCCTCAGCCTCCCTAGTAGTTGGGATTACAGGCGCCCACCACTACACTTGGTCAATTTTTATATTTTTAGTAGAGATGGGGTTTCACCATGTTGGCCAGGCTGGTCTCAAACTCCTGACTTCAAGTGATTTACCTGCCTCAGCCTCCTGAAGTGCTAGGATTACAGGCATTAGCCATCGGGCCTGACCCTTAATTTTTATTTTTAAGAACAAAAACAGTAAGATTTTTATTCTTGCACATATATCCAGTTAAGCTTTATAATAACCATAAATAAATTCTAACCGCACCCTTAGTTTTTAGAAGCTTATAGCCGTCAAAATAATTAGAATACTTAAATATAAAACTATAGGAGCCTTAAAATGAAGCACATTTTTAGTATATTTGATATATTATTTTAAATTCTGTACTGCCAACAGAGGTTTAAAAAAAGATGGCTCCTTTTTTACATAAAACTGACAGTTCTCGGACATTTTTTTCCTCAGCAGGATGTAGTTCAGTCATCTTCCTATTTTTTTTTTTTTTTTAAGATAGAGTCTTGCACTATCGCCCAGGCTGTAGCGCGGTGGCGCGATCTTGGCTCACTGCAATCTCCGCCTCCTGGGTTCAAGCAATTCTCCTGCCTCAGCCTCGTGAGTAGCTGGGACTACAGGCGTGTGCCACCACGCCCAGCTAACTTTTTTGTATTTTGAGTAGACATGGGGGTTTCACTATGTTGGCCAGGATGGTCTCAATCTCCTGACCTTGTGATCTGCCTGTCTCAGCCTTCCACAGTGCTGGGATTACAGGCGTGAGCCACTGCGCCCGGCCTAGTTCAGTCGCCTTTTAACAAAGGACCTGGCTTTTGTATTTCAGCAAGCCCAGGTTAAAGGTTTGGTATGTAGAATGCCTATGGAACATGAAACTGACTCACAAACTATCAAACCCTTGACCTTGGCACTTCACTTCAGTTTTCTGAGTTGCCCAGGACATGCATCCCCCAGTAGTAAGGCTAAAGCTTGAGGATAATTTTAGCTGTAAATTTGCAGTTGTAAGATCTCACTGCTAGCCAGTCTCTTTTTCCAGACCACACTTGACTGTCAATGTCGTCGTATGCAGGTTGCTATTGCTGGGGCCCCAGTCACTCTGTGGATCTTCTATGATACAGGATACACGGAACGTTACATGGGTCATCCTGACCAGAATGAACAGGGCTATTACTTAGGATCTGTGGCCATGCAAGCAGAAAAGTTCCCCTCTGAGTAAGTGCAAGCCTTCTTTTTTTTTTTTAAATGAGACAGGGTCTCACTCTGTCACTCAGGCTGGAGTGCAGTGGTATGATCAGGGCTCCCTGCAGTGTCAAACTCCTGGGCTCGGGATCCTCAGCCCTGAGTAGCTGGGACTACAGGCATGTGCCACCATGCCCACCCAGTTTTTTGTAGTTTTAGTAGAGGCAGGGTTTTACCATGTTGCCTATGGTGGTTTTGAACTCCTGGACTGAAGTGATCTGCCCACCTCCAACTCCCAAAGTGCTGGGATTACAAGGCGTCAGCCGCTGTGCACGGCATAGTTCAAGGTTAAGTGAAGATTATAAATTTTAAATTGTATTTTTAAAAATTGTCTTCAATCCTAATGAAAAATTCAAATACTGAAAAACCAAGATGAATATATTATACTAGAATAGCCTGGCTGTGTCTTAAAACTGAATTACAGGTCAGTTCATGTAATGCCTTTTTACAAGTTATAATTGAAGCAATTGTTTTTGCTGAAAAAAGTGCTCAGCTGTTTCAAGGTGGAAAAATTTTACGTCTGCCTGAATATATTTTACAAATAGTTCTAGGGACTTGCTATAATTATACATGTGCCCTAATATTTTATTTATAAAAAATTGAACACATGATCTTTTTTTAATCTTTCATTACCTGTGGCATCTGTTTAATATGTTACAAATTTAATATTGAAAATATTAAATCCTTATTCTAACATCACAGTATAAGGAAGTTAATATGGTTAAGTATGATTAAATAAGTGAAATGGTTTTCCCAAAGCTCTACTATTTTGTCTAATCCTCTAATATTTCCATTTCTCAGACCAAATCGTTTACTGCTCTTACATGGGTTCCTGGATGAGAATGTCCATTTTGCACATACCAGTATATTACTGAGTTTTTTAGTGAGGGCTGGAAAGCCATATGACTTACAGGTGAGTTATTTTACATTTTCTAGTTAAATGTAGTCATGATTAGTGATTGATTACTTTGAAATCTGTTAACTGTGGGGTAAGGCCAGATTTTTAGAGTGTCCACCCTCTGCTTAAGAGAAGTAAAGTAAGAGGCATAGTTAGCAGTGCCTGTAGTTGGATAAAAATTAAGATTCTGTTGCAGTCAGGCTGTCAAACCTGCCTGTCAGAGTACATAACTCTGTGTCTGTATCTGCTTTCAGTTTGGAAGCAAGGAAAAGATGACAAGCAGTCCGTTCACTCTTCTCCTTTGCTTTTCTTTATCCCCTGTGAAGAATGAGGAAATGCTACTTGATTTCCTTGTTGCAAAAGGATTTTTAGGACCTGTTTATATGGTCTTTTAATTTTCTTTTATTTTACATTGACATTGGAGCAGAAACCAGCAAGTTAACGCTCCTCCATTGCTCCATTATTCATTGCTCATTATTCCAGTTTTTCTTGAAATTGTGTTTTACTCCTTAAACAGATTATGTGCTCTTAAAAAATGAAAAAATTACTTTTTTCTTTTTTACATTTCAGGTGATATTTATGTTTAAACTATGAGATATTTATCTATAGCAGCAATTTTTTTTTTTTTTTTTTTTTTTTTTTTTTGAGACGGAGTTTCGCTCTTGTTACCCAGGCTGGAGTGCAATGGCGCGACCTCGGCTCACCGCAGCCTCCACCTCCTGGGTTCGGGCAATTCTCCTGCCTCAGCCTCCTGAGTAGCTGGGATTACAGGCACGTGCCACCATGCCCAGCTGATTTTTTGTATTTTTAATAGAGACGGGGTTTCACCATGTTGACCAGGATGGTCTTGATCTCTTGACCTTGTGATCCACCCGCCTCAGCCTCCCAAAGTGCTGGGATTACAGGCTTGAGCCACCGCGCCCGGCTATAGCAGCAATTTTTAAGCCTTTTGGTTTTAGAACACCTTTATCTACCAAAGAACTTTGTTTATATCGATTATAGCAATATTTTTCGTATAAGATATTAAAACTGAGAAAAATTTTAAATATTTTAAAATAATAAACTATTGGCTGGGCGCTGTGGCTCACGTCTGTAATCCCAGCACTTCGGGAGGCCGGGTGGGGGGATCACCTGAGGTTGGGAGTTCAAAACCAGCCTGACCAACATGGAGACACCCCCTCTCCACTAAAAATACAAAAATTAGCCAAGCATGGTGGCAGGCACCTCAGGAGGCTGAGGCACAATTGCTTGAAACCAGAAGCAGAGGTTGCAGTGAGCCAACATTGTGCCACTGCACTCCAGCTTGGGTGACAGAGTGGGCTCTGTCTCAAAAAAGAAAAGGCATATTTTAGCCTTTTCAGATAATTGTAGATATTCTTTGATACTGTACCAAAACTGGACAAGTGGTAGTGTCTTAAAGGTTATGAGATTTTGTTTGTGGTTTTAAAT